CTTTTATTAATGTTCTCCGTCATACAAAATAGATCTAGTGAGAAATTGAATTAATTCATACGATCCAAATTGGGTATTCTTGCTAAGTGCTATGATAGAACTAAGCGATTCGCATTTTGGAAAAAATTGAAAACATTAGACAGTTTAATGCTAATACAATTAATTCCGTTTATGAAAAATCTGAAGGTGACAAGTGGACACAAATTCCTCCGACACTTGTGTCAATTATTGATGCTGATATTCAGTCTGCCATTAAAGTAGACCTTTATTGTTAGATGACCGAAGTTGATAAACCTCTCTAGCATGAAGCAAAGAGAAAGTGAGAGATGACATATGATAAGAGAAAAAAGATCTCATGAGAATAACATAAAAAATAGGAAAAAAATAAACGAAAGGAGATATGGAAAGTGAAGAACAAGCCAGAAAGTTTGATGCTTGAGCGAATCCCAAGCCAGAATGAGGAGTTGGCCAGATGCGGAGGATGACTGAAGCAGATCAGTTTGGCGTATTTCAGGAGTTGGAGTAGAGGAAGATCCTAAGGACAAATTTGAGTGGGGCAAAGAGGATGAATTGGAAGCTGCAGGGTTCTGCCCCGAATGAGGCATCGGAGCTGACTTCTCAATAAGGCCATATAGAAGATTTGAATACGATGTAGGCAGTGCTGGATATAGCGAAGGTAGTTGAGGTGGGAGATCTGAGATACCACCGCTAATGTTGGTTAGAAGAGCCTCCCTTTCTTCCCAATTGGGTTCAAGCGGAAGAAATGCATCCGTGATCGTTGAAGAAGCCTGCAAGTTGACTTTAGTGGGTAAAAGCAAGCCCGGTTTAGCAGATGAATGAATATATAAACGAATTTATACATCAAAAATTGAATACCTGCTAAAGATATTTCAGTCTTAAAAAGCATAAAAGAGTTTCACAACCTACATTTTTGTATTATGAAGAAATTATATCCCTCAAAGGTTGATCTTAAAGTACAACGTATAGAAACAGCAGAAGTAAGCAATTAGTTATATTCTAATTACTTGGATAAAGTGGGAAAATGTGAAATAAATATGGGCTAAATAGGCCCCATAGAGAAATGCAAGAACAATTTCGAGGATTGATTTAAAAGCTTCTAATGTAATCTGTTTTCCGAAAGCAAAAAAGCGGCATTTGCCAACAAATAAAAACAAATGAGAAGATGAACTTTCATTAATCTGGAAAATAAAACATTGCTTTCCAGCTAATCGAAACAGTCTGTGCGTCATAGAGCTGGTACAGAGTAAAAATGTTAGTTTTTAAGAGAGGTTATTAAATCTAGTCTTAACATAGAAAATATGAAGACCGAAATGGTCATAGATCCTGTTTTATGAACAAAAATCCGCCCTAAGCCATTTTATCTCTTTGAATAATTCTCATTTATATAAACCATTGCTTTTCACAAAAATGCTTCTAGTTTTTATAGAAATCGGTATCATAAATTCGCTGCAAGAGGGGAGAAACCAATTAATCATTTTACGAATTTTGAGATAGAGGAAATCGTAGATGCTGAAGTTTAAGTAATATATCAACAAGGCTGGTTTAAATAATGTGACAGATTTCTTCAGAGTAACACCTCTAAGTAATTGTGTAATCAGACCCTTTGCAAGGCTGTTCTTTAACAAATATCGAAAAATTTTAGAACCTATTTCTGGTCGGTAATTTATACGTATCTAACACCTATTAACCTTATTTATGGCCTAAAGGCCTACGGGTGAAGAGCTAGGTGAAGCAAGAGATATGAGTTATTATTCAGCATAAAAGATGTACAAAAGGTGGCCAAACGTTTGAGGATAATAGCAAGAAAAGGGTTAGATTTCATAAGAAAATTGGATAGACTTAAGGGCAATAAAGCTTGCAAATTACCAGTAAGACATTATGAAGATAATTAGAATGAAAAGTAATGATAAATACACTTTTCATGTTCAAACATGATCTATTAGTGCAGAGCCAATCAAAATTGTGAAATTTTTAATGGATAGGTGCTTTGATAACAACGATTGAATAATAATTAAATTACTAGATACAAGAGGGCTGACGGGCTTGGGAAAGGCTTAGAAGGCAGGAACAAGTGTATGTGTGTCAAGCTGCAATGTAACCTCTCCACTAAACAGCCAGCTTTCTGAAGATCAAATTATTTTTTTTAAAGTGACCATGTCCATTTTACATCACCTTTTTATAGTGGAGCTGATTGCGGAGTATGTTTTCGAGACTACCAGGAGATCATCTATATATGAAGTGTAATCGAACTATTTCGTTTATGTTATTTAAGAGGACTGGTAGTTGAATTTTCTTACAATGATATGAGTAGACTTTACATTTCCATTGAATTTCCCATAGCCTTTTGGGAAAGCAAGGATATGTGAAATTCAATGAAAACTTAAGGTATACTCATATTATGGAAAGAAAATTCAACTACCAGTCGATTTATCACCTTTAAAAACAAGATGCGGTGAATAAATTTCATATATTAACATGTATGGGTTTTAACAAACTAAGACTTTACAGTGTAAAAATGAGTACAGCAAGTGATAATTACGGAACCTAGTTATTTGATAAGAAAAACATTTGTCATAACAGGTGTAATAACCAGAGTTTGTCTAAGGTGATGAAGTGTTGTGAAGATTTTCATTTCGTATGAAAACGCAGGATGAAGAAATTCGTAGGTCGATCTCACCAGAAGACGACGGCTGATTTCCGTTGCCCTGCAGCCGTTTAGCTTTGATACAACGTTCAGGTTGATGCAGTCCACGAGTCTCCATCGTTTCGGGTGGAGACGAGCAAGCATTCGTTCGTCCTATTTCGAACATCGTGATTCTTGAAAAAGCCACAAAGTAGCACTAAATCAAGAAAAATAACCGACTTTTTCCTATCTGATATATATACTCATATAGAAAAAAAATTATATATGGATTAATAAAGAAAGGTTTGGTTAATTCAATTACAGTCGAATGTATCTCTGTGAATATGTATGTTAACGTCTGTAAACAAAATCGGCCATAATCCATAGAAATGAGAAAAGACTTAACTTGGGCCCCAGGACCCAATGAAAATAGCATCACAAGGATTGAGTTAGTCCGTAAGTAACCTTGATTGAATTAATGAGAAGTAAGCCTATACAAGTGAAAATCAGATTACAAAACCAATATTTCGAAGCTGTGAATGTGGCTTATTAAGATACAAAGACGAAACAAAATATTATGGCCTCTATTTTGGTTAAAGTCCTCTTTTGATGTATAGTACAATAGTTGTTTGTAAAGGTTTTCAAAATTTGGTAATATTGACAGAAGGATCTAGAGAAACACAGCTTGTCCGAAGTCCAATGTATAAATGATAATTTCCCAAAACAGACCGTGGACTTAGAACATTCCCAGACGTTTAGCCAACATCGTCAGTGAGTCTTACCATTCTCAGCACCACATTACAACTCGTCATGGAGACAAGAGAAGTCAATCATTTGAACACTTTTCTACTGAAACTGTTGTGCTATCAATTCTCTTTCTGTCCTAGCCCTTCTATCTAATTCCTATCAGCTTGTCTTGCCCTCGTTCTATCGAAACTTCTGACTTGTTTATATTCCACTCCTCAAGAGGTATGTCCTTATGGCCAATATACCTTGGCGTCACCACACCTGCTTGTTCCCTTGCCCACCTCCCTTACGAATAGTTAATCCGAGTCGGGGCTGCTATTCGAAATTTCCTCATGGACCCGTAGATCCGTTGCCCGGTTTCACGCGCTTCCAGCCGAGTATACTTTGTACTCCAGGAGCTATTTCTCAGGCCTCTAGTACCACATACAACGTCGCCTCATCTGCAGAGTGTATAGGCTCTGAATCCCATGTTTTCAGATATTAGGCATTGCCTTTACTCATCATCTACTTAATTAAACCTGTATATCCTGAGCAAACTGTGGACATCTATCTCTGGTCGTCTGCTGTCTGTTGAGTGGATTATTATCATTATTATTATTCTTACCGTACCTTATTTAAACATTCCATACATTCAACGTACTCCATTATATATTAATTTCGATAACCTCTCTTATCTTTATTTTGTAGAAGACATGCTATAATCAGCAAACCTTTGCATCTGAAAGCATTTTATCTCATGTCCAGTCTCGGCCCTATGCTCAGCCACTTCTGACTGTTTGACCCAGCTGCCTTTACAAGCATTTTGGTGCTCCGCTAATCTTTGGCTGATCGGCCGACAAAACTCACTAATATGATGTTGACTACAGGAGCAGACAACCAAAGCCAGCAAATGCTAGTTTTCTAAAAAAATATTTCTGCTTAACTCAACATCTTTCCTAATAATCATAACAATCAAAAGATAATCTCCTCTTTTTTCTAATTTCATTGTGAATTAAATATTTCTTTCACGCTGATTAAGTGAAAATATGAAACTAAAAAATCTGCCCTTACCATGCTGTCAGATCACAAAATAATCATCCATATATGAAACAAAGAATTTAGGAGTCAGTATCACCTCATGCATTGAGAGTTCCTCAAAATTTGCCTACTGTTATTCGCCAAATCGGAAATAAGCAAAAATCCATTTCAGGTCTTTGCGTCTGTGCATGAAATTAATCGTCAGAAGTGAAATAGTGTTCAAGCCTTAATAAGGCAAGAAGCCTTATAATAGAGGCTATACTTAACTTAATCCTCCCCATAATCCATGAATTATTCTCCAGGGTGAGCATCAAAATCCTAATTGGCCCCCTGTACTGGACGACGTCAAAACTTACTAGTATGCCTTCTTCTGAAATACCCTACAGGTCCACTAGTTTAACAAATTCGTAAGATTTTTTAACCGAAATTCTGTAACTTGTATTAATTGTCTGCATAAAAGCCAAGCCTTTCTATATCCACCTACAACTGATTTTTTATCGCAATGAGTATATATGTCATAGTTGAAATAACCAGTCAACCTTCTTGACTGTGTTAACTTCAGGCCTTTACAAGAATGAGTTCCAGCTCTGACAATATTCGTCATATGATGGAGGAATGGTCAGCTCAACTTGACCCGAAACGATGGAGGCTGTCTCGTTGCCTACGTCAACCTGAACGTCGTATCTGAGCCAAATGGCTGCAGTACAACGGGAATCAGCAGTCGTCTTCTGATGGGCTGGACTCACTTTTACGCTAAATTGAAGTCTTTACAATAATATCATCTCAGAAGATTTTTTGGATGCACCCATGATAAAATGATTGATCTTTTTATTTTCATTGAATTTCACATAGCCTTGCTTTCCAAAAGGTATTCTTATTCAGGCTGGACTGGACTGCAGTTTCGAACTTGCCTAGGTCTTATCAGCATCTCCAGCAGAACTCGCACCTGGGAAGCGCAGCGTATAGTCCCGGAACATTTACGACAGCGTCAAACTGCAACGAGTGCCCTTGTGTCATAGGGCAGAAATGAATATCAAGGAGGGCTAGATCTTTCCAACATTAAAATTATATGGTAGAAGCGTCGACGAAGCAAGGTCGTATTTGCTATTGCGATCGACTACAATACTTCCTTTTCCTCTATAGGTCGGTTTTCGGAACTATCAGAAAATAAAATCGAAAATTAAAAATGAGTATTACAATAATTCTAAAGCAAATAAAATTTGCTTCGTCGACAATCCCAGTACAGAAGTGTGATATCGAGAAGCCCTAGGCATCTTTGAAGCTGATGTTTGTCCTATGACTCAGGGGAGTTTTTGATGGTGTGGCGTAGTAATGAACGTGTCGAGAGTAACGCTGAACTAACACACATATGTATAAGGACTTATTCTCTTCTATTTCAATTGGAAACCTAATATTTCTTGCACGCTAGTTGAATTAAAGTAGGAAACTATCTAAACTTTCCTTACCATGAGGCCAGATGACAAAATAGTCATCCATGTATCTAACCAACAATTTGGGGTTATTAATGCCTCTTGCAGGAAGTTTTCTTCCAGTCTTGCAATAAAATTGTTCGCTAAGATGTGAGACAGGCAAGATCCCATCGCTAATCCTTGCGTTTGTTCGTATAAATTACCACCAAAGGTAAAATATGTGGTACTCATGGGTAGGTCAATAAGTTTAATAATGGAAGCTTTACTCAGCCTTATTCTTTCTGTTATCTCTGGATGCTCCTCCCGCGTTTGTATCAGAGCTTTAATAGCTCCTCGAACAGGAATGTTTGTGTACATATACACAACATCAAAGCTTACTAGCTTTAAATTGAATTTCGTCGAAAAACCTTGCTCCTTAGGTAAGGCGTACTAACCATGGTTATATCAAACTGGAGGAGGATAAGGTAATCAATTTATCTAGTACAAATCTGGAGGATAGTGTGACACTTGTATT